GTGATCATCTAGGCTAACATTTGGACCAAACCACACACCTTTGTCACACATTATTTGCTTCATGTGGCCATCTCCTCCACTTCTAGATACCGATTACCACCTGTGCCATTCTACCCACCTCATTTTAACTGTGAGTAGGAATTTTTATGTTTCTTTATTTCCATTACAGTGGCCCATTTTAGACATTGGATCCCACTCTGTGGTGAGTGCTGCCTGTCCAGGTATACTAATCTTTGCCCCTATGACACCTGGTACATTTTTAATCTCTTTCTGCGCATGTACTAAAGTGTTAATGAGCTACATTCAAAATTTAATTAAACCACTTTACTATCAAAATATTTTAATGAAATTAGCATCATCAAGTACAATGAAATTCAAAGTTTTATATTATTTATAAGTTTTTATTATTTCATTTCAAAAGAAACTACTCAAACAGTAATTAAAAACTTAAGTTGCTATAGCAACTGAACTGTAGACTATATGCAAGAAACGAACATGGTTCAAAATGTTTTTCTTGCTGGCAATAAACTACATGCACACACAATTCATTTACCAGTAACTTGATACACACACACTTCTAGAATTGACCTCAAAAGGAAACTGTTGTAGAAATTCCTGAGTTCAAGCTATGCCATACCCACTTACAAAGTAGAAGCTGTTTTGCTAAGTGACAGTTTTAAGTTGAATGGCATGCTTATAACCAATATAACGAGCAAATTTCCCTCTTGAAGGTTGAATGGCATGCTTATAACCAATATAACGAGCAAATTTCCCTCTTGAAGGTTGAATGGCATGCTTATAACCAATATAACGAGCAAATTTCCCTCTTGAAGGTTGAATGGCATGCTTATAACCAATATAACGAGCAAATTTCCCTCTTGAAGGTCATTAATGTAAAGGGAAATGTGTTTATACATCCATTTTCAAACTTAGTGAAATGAGGCTAAGTCCATTGTTGTGAGTGGTGTCCGTAGTACTTGGCAATTTTTTCTCACCTGATACATATTAGTTTGATAGATAGTTAGATTGCATTTAGGTTTTTACTTTTATATTTTAGTTAATTATGTATTATTTGTGTTTTGAAATTTATAAACGAAAGTTTAATGATTTTAAAAATTATTTTATACTTTGAATTTCTAAAACAGCTTTGACAAACTTATGAGTGCAAGAAATATTATACCGGGGGGCTAAAACTGTCTTGTAAAAGTTAATGTTATATTGCCTGCAGGCTCTTGTTTATGTATGTATTGGCATAAATAATCAAAGATAAATAATAGAAAAGGAAAATAAACTATAAGTGAAAAGATAAAGATGTGAAATTATGCATGTGAACCAAAGAAGACATTTTAGATTATTCAATAAAAGAGTTAAAAGGTATGTACATATTTCTATTTCTGAATTTTAAACATTTCATTGATTTCACTGATCATAATAGCTAGTTAGTGAGGTTGTAGAGGAAATGGCAAATAAAATATAAACATTTACCTTAAAAAATGTTCTAGAGATTATACCAACTCATGGACTATAATGAGTAAAGCAGTGTCAGGATAGTTGCTCATCAATCTGATCCTGGTTGAATAAATAGGAACTGGTCTGCTTTTCAAAATAGGGTTTCCCATTGCACTTTCTTGGGTGTTACATTTCTCTGGACTCCCCACTGCATTGTTTCTGCCCCTTTGAGTGGAGTATGGGAATCCTAGCCACTTACCAGCTCCTAGCTGCTGGGGTGGTGGTCCATAGAGTGTATCCTACTGATGTGTTCAATTCTACTCAGTTGAGCATATGGTGATGATGTTTTGATGGTTTAGATGGTATGTACCACAAAAAGTTCACCCCTCTGGGATCTCTCATCCTACTGCTGCCTGGATGTCAGTTCCCTGATAGTCTGGTGTTGGATTGCAGCAGGACCAGCCAACATAAGTCCTCCTACCATGGACTGGATGATAAATTTCCAATGCTGCCAGGTTTTGTACTGGAGTCGACCCATCGTGATGAATTCCTCCTTCCTACCATCACCCAGAAGTATGGTTCCTGGGTGGCCTAGTGTTGGTTGTGTATTGTGTCGGCACACGTGTAATTCCTGGGTTTTTGCTACAAAAGTGCAATTTCCCTTTTGATTTTTGGGCTTGAGGTAAAGATTGTAGGGACCCTCCTCTTACTGTAGCCCAGATGTTTAATTCCCAGTACCACCAGGTTTTGGACTGGAGTTGACTTGCCAATTACGGTCTGAAGCACCTTAGCCATTTTACACCAGTTAGTGCATCAACTTACTTGCATATTGGACGTGTGTGTGTCTTTTGGGCCTGTATATGCAACACATATCTTTTCTGTGGGCAAAGAGTATACCTGGTACAGATGTGGTGCAGTCACACTCCATGGGTCCTTTTCGAAGGGTGCTTATCTAGGTAACTTTTGCACCAGTCCCTCCATCAGTTCAATGTGGGATTCTACCTATTATGTAAAAAGAGGTAAGGTATCGTATCAAAAGTAATAATTTTCTTACACTGAAAATGTATTTCTGATAGAAACTTACCTGCTCTCACACTTCCCACCTATCCTCCCCACTTCTGGTGCTTCTTTTCTGCCTAATCTCGATGTGAAGCTTTGGCTCTATACTATAGGAGTCAGAAGTGCCAGGAGGGTGTGTTGCTCTCCTATTGATGGAAGATTGTTGCATGATTATTTGTTTACTACAGTGCAACTGTACCACATGTAAACACATGAGGGTAGGTAGGAGTATCAAGGCTAGTGATGAGCAAAAATTTTGCATATAGAGGACAGCATTGAATGAAAAAAGCTATTATGTAGAGGGAGGTAAGTGTATTGGAACTACATTTTCAGTGTAGGAAAATGATAACATCTGTAAGGTGCATGTCTGTGGATATCAGTTTCTGCAATTAGTTTGGGGAGTGAGTTGGTGATATGTTGCCTTGTTTTGTTATGTTTTTATTGTTTTTGCAGATAATTTGAAAACGTATCTTCATTATATACATCAAGTATTTTAATTTTTACAACATTAAGGTGTTTTATACTAAATTTATACATGTTTTAATGGATTCAGGCTGAGATGCTTGGTGCTTTGTATTTTTCTCAAACATGTTTTTGTCGGAGCTCTGAGGCTAGTTTCAAGATGAAATTCCTCCTACTTATATTTTATCCAGTGCATTTGTTGTACAAAGTTAGGAAATTGATGGCTGCCAGGTCCAGGCAATGTAAAATACAGCAACTGGCCATTGACTAAAACCAGCTTTTACAGAGTAAGGAAGTGCCATCTGGTCTGCAACATCCATTCTGTACTTTGTCTGGTTGTAGAAAAGTACAATTTCTGTTGTTTTGTTTTCTTTTCAATAGTGTCAATGGCAGCTGACATCTGAAAAGAGCAGAGAATGCAAACATTCATCCTTCACATTGTCTGCCAGTCTCTGACCAGCTGGGCAAGTATGTCTTTCTACAGATAGGGGAAACCATTTAAAATATATTTTGAGCCAACATCTACTGACAGCCAAAATCTTACAGACCATATATTGTGTCCAGTAACACTGTACTTTTGTGAGAAACAACTGCTCATCCACAGTAATATTCTCTTCTGGCTTCTAGCAGTTACTGCAGTTTTCAATGAAGCCATTACATATTTCTGATGTCATGGAAAATTTGTCTGTTTGAAGTTGGGCACTTTTTATTGCTCTCAAGTCAAAATGCAAAAATCTCAATAATTCTCTAATTTGGTTCCTTGGCATTGTTTCTGTAAAAAAAGAAATTTCCCATTGTGCAGCCCAGAAGCTTTCTGGATAAATGCTTTTACTACCATAGGCCCCAAGGACATATAGCAGTGCAATAAACACGTCTAATTCCTCTACAGATATTTTCCAGAAATCGTTTTGCACCACTACGAGCCTCTGCTTCAGGACACTGTTGGATGTGGTGTTGCATTTACATATCAATCAGTAAGTGAAAAGCACTGAGAGTACTATCAATGTAACATTTTGTGCAGCCCATCTTCTTGCAGCCTCAACAGTAGAATTCATAATTTCCAAAATTGTTCCATCCTTCCTAGTGATGCAAGTGGAGTCACTGTAGTTAATAATGTGCCAAGCAAAGTGGTTGGCACAACTGGAGCGCCTGCAACTGCAACTTTCACCTGCAGGGTTGTGTTTCACAAATCCAGGACTCATTACATTCGTGATTGGTCACACTTTCCTCATCAGAATTATTTTCTGAAAAGTTGTGAGCATCTTTATCATTTGTTGAGCAGACATTCATCTTCTTTGAACCATTTTTGAGTTTTGAATCTCTGTCACTTTTTCTGTTACTATATATATATACAAAAATCAACAGACAAGCAGATGCCACTTCTCACAGGAATTGCTAGGATTATAGGTAGACTATGCTAAAATTCATTCACATCAGCCAACAAATAAACATTTGTTCTTCTTGACTTCAAGGGCCAAAATTTAATCAAAGAGCTGATAGGGGCAGTTGGAGATAGAAGTAACAACAGGCATCTATACAGAAACTGTAATACAAAAAGAATTAATTGCATGTTGTTATGAATAAAAGCATGTATTGTAAACAACAGTCAGATTAACAGGCCATTGGCAGTTTGAGGTAAAAGTGATTATATCTTTTTTATATATGTGATTCTGCCTTTGAAACGCTGTAAGGGTATTTAATACATGGATTTAGGAAAAGTCATGAACATAAAACAGCATGTCTTTCATACATGCAAAGATACTTAAATTTTAAAAGTCAAAGCTGTCAGATTGAAGGCCTTGGTGATTTTTATGTGGACTATTGAAAAAGCTGCTACAATTATTGTTTATTTTTATTTTTTCTTACAAAACTTGTATGTATGAAAAAGATTGATAATAAACTTTCAGGTCTAGGCAGGGCTTTGAAAATTGTAGGGAAATTCAGATTTTCAAAATATTGCACAGTTTCAATATTTACTGTTAAATTATCATTTGAAGCTTTAAATTATATTTGTATGTTTTTTCATTTAGCACTTCTTGATGTCACTGAAAAGTGATTTGTCATCAATAGTATTGCTGGAGAAGAATGTTGAAATTTCATCAGGAGTTTTGCAAATGAAAGACTCAGTGAGAGCTACAGCTGCAAGTAGTCAGAATTCAGAGATGCCACTCCAATCATCTTCAGTAACTTCAGTCACTTCAGGTGGATCATCTAATACAACTGCAGCTAATGATCGAACACCTTTGCTTAGGCACTCTCGCCTGTTTCGTAGCCTCAGTGGAGCTAATGGAGGACCCCACTCATTTTCTGAAACGAATGGAACTAATATTCCTATTGGCAGTACCCGACGGTTGAAAACATTCTCGGGAGTTTTCACTCCTGTCTGTTTGTCAATGTTCAGTGCAGTGCTCTTTCTTCGAGTAGGTGAGTAAGCTGTAGATAATTGTGGTTAATGGATTCAAAGAGCTAAAAGTTGAAATAAAGATAAAGCAAACAAATATGATATTTATCTTGTTAAGTTAATCTTGGGCAAGAAAGTTGTTCAAATAGTCCTCTTTCACATGAGTCAATAAATGCTTAAAGAATGAATTTAAGCTTGTCATTGGCTGTTTTGTTATTGTACTAGGCTTTAGCATTGCTTAAGTTAAAGTTCTGAGTTTTATTGGACTTTGTTTAATGTATATAAATTGTTTTCTGGTCCCCAGATTCATTAAATGATATGGAGAATTGCTATAAAACAGTGAATTCCCAAGTTATGGTGACTACTACTTCCTCCTGAGGTTCTGGCAATGTTGATAAAACTGCCCCTATTTCTCCTGTTCAGTGGAGGCTTATTGACTGTGGAGGATATTACTGCCGCTGGTGGACAAGCCATGGGTTCATTATTGCTTTCCTTGCCTCATCTTCTTTCACCTTCTGGGTTTCTACTTGGTTCCTCTTCACCTTTAAAGGGCAATGTTCCTCCTCCAAATCTCTTTGTGGATTTGATATCTCAGCATAATTCTCTTTCACCTATGTCTTTTGATTCTTTTTATTCCTTACTACATGCCTCTTCTCTAAGGATTATTTGTTTTTTTTCCCTCCTACAGACATACATGTCCATAAGCTTCTGGATCAGCTTTGTTCACATTTTTAAATGCCTCATTCTTCTTGACCCAATGGTTCCTTTGCCATGGCTTATGGCCATTCCCTTTTCCACTCTTGGATTTCCAATCCCAAGAGTCCCTTTTATTTGCTGCTTGGGAGGCTAATTCCCTGTCTCCTGTAACTATCTAGTGCCCAGTTTTCCTGTACTTGCCCTTTTCTACCCATCTCCTCTGTTACCTATCCTCTATAAAACCCTATACTGTGATTCTGATAATTTGTCTGGAGATCTATGACCAATACTTTTCAATATTTTGGTCAGGGTATCATTTTCTTTTTTTCCCTTTCTTACTTGGTTCTTCTGTTGTGGAACCTTCTGAGATATGGATGTGATGCTCTCCTTTCTACTGTTTGTCTTCTCTATTCTTACCTCCATGACCTCTGTCTGGCTCCTTTTCTTCACTCTGAAATCTTCAGGGATGTTTCTAATACCTTGGAAACTAGGGCCAAGACTGTCCAACAACAAATCCATGCCTATTCCTTGACTCTGTGCCCCCCAGTGGCACAGCAGTATGTATGTGGACTTACAATGCTAGAATCTGGGTTTCGACACCTGTGGTGGGCAAAGCACAGATGACCCACTGTGTTGCTTTGTGCTTAACTTCAAACAAACCTTGACCCTGTAAACTCTTCACCTCTCTCTCTTTTTTTCCTGTTTCTCATCCCTTTACTTCTTGCTTTCCCTCCCCCTTCCTGTCAAGTTTTCTGAAGCATATCTCATTGGTGACAACCTCCATTTATACCTTTTTGATGTTTGTATATCTGTTACTGTTTAAAGAGCTCTGGACCCCATTTGCAGCTGATCAGTGGGTCATTCAGATTTTTACACATAGAATTTCTCCTCCCTTCTTGTTTCTTCCTCCTCTATCTCCTTTTCCTTCTCCTTCTACTTCTCAGGATTCTGCATTTCAAGGCTGCAGTATTGGATCTTTTAGGCAAAAGAATTGTTTAGAGGGCCATTTGCACCTCTCCAGGATTTTATTCTTGTTATGTAGTTGTCCCCCAAAGTACTGGGGACTGGTGTCCTGTCATTGACCTTCTCTCAACCACTATATAGTGGTTACTCAGTTCAAGGTGGAGGGGTTTCTTCCTCTTCTTTGATCTTTTTCCTGGACTATGGATGATCAACATCGACGTCTCATAAACCTTTTTACATATTCCCATTTTCCATTCTTCTCAGCATTGTCTTCAATTCATTCACTGGGATCAGATGTGGTAGTTCTGAGCTTTCCCCTTTGGCATCACTTTGGCTCCCTATGTGGGAACATTTACTCACTATGTAACAGTCTAAGACTTCATTTCTTTTATTATGTGAATGACTGGTTCATCCTCACTTATTCTTAGGAGGCCTCTTTCTTGATAACATCACTTCTCCTCCATGATGTTGCTTATCTGGGTTAGTTGGTCCAACCTTCTAATTTATTCCTCATTCTGACCCGATACTTGGTACACTATCAATGTATCTTGATAAAATTAACATTATAATGTATATTATTATTATTCAAAGTTTTATTATCTAAGTTTTAATTCCTTTGTTTCAAAAGAAACCTTTAAAAAATACTTAATCTTCAGTTTTGTTGTCACATGACCCATGAGCTATGAAAAATCTCAATTTTCACAGTTGCTATCTTGAATCAGGTAACACCGGTCATGTAGACGTTTGCCTAGACAGTAAGTACGTTTACTTACCCTATTGACACGTATGTTTCAATGCAGTAGAAACAAGTACAGGTGCCATGCCCACCTTCTATACATATCCTTGAGCTTTAGAAGCCAACATATATCTTTTAGACATATGTATTTATACTCATTGGAAAGAGCTCAATTTATACTATAATCCAACAACAGTTATTTTTAAATTGGTGCTAAGTTGTCGTCATTGGGTAGATCTAACTGCTTGTAGTACTGTTAACTGCTTGACCCACGATAGCACTTTGGTTGTTTCTTACCTAAATATGTTATAGTTAGACAGTTGGATTGTATCTAAGTTTTACTTTTATATTTTGAATAATTATGCATTATTTTTGTTTTGAAATTCAAAATTTGCTTCTCTCCTCAAGGCTTATATTACCAAGCAATTCAAAAAAAAAGAGATTTTGCTGAAGGCTAATGTATTTCTGCCTATCATGCTATTCTGTCATCCACGGGTACCTGTTGACATGTGTTGACATAAATAATAAATGATAAAGAATAGGAAAGGAAAATAAAACATAAAAAATAAACTATTAATGAAAATGTAAAGATATGAAATTATGCATATGACCCAAAGAAGATATTTTAAGACTATTCTATGAAGGTCTATACATATTTCCATTCTTTAATTTTAAACATTTCATTGCACTGTCTGTTGATGATAATAGGTAAAGTTGGTGATATAGTAGAGAAAATGAAAAATAAAATATAAACATTTACCTTAAAAAAGTGTTTGATATTCATTTAGAAACAATGATACAATTTTGAACAATTTCATCCAGTAGTTTCATTTTTTGAAAGCTACTAGCAATCTTTGTATATCATTTTGATAGGGCTAGCCACGCTACACCCTGTGTCCTACTGACCTGTTGTTTACAAATGCTCGGTCAGTCATGTTTTTTCTGCTCGTCTGTGCAACATATTGATGTGTTTTGCCTTCTACTTTCATGTTTCCATTTGGGCAAAGAGTATACCCTGCATTAGATGAATAAGGTTTCCCATGGGTGTTACACCTCTGATAAGCCCCTGCTATGGGGTGTCATACTCCTTTGGCTTTCTCCTTCAGTCTCTTTCTCCAAAGGAAGCTTATTTAGGTTTTTGTAATTGCTCAGGCCCCTCCACTATATAAATGTGGGATTCTAGCTACTGTGTGAAGAGAAATAAGGATATTGTTTTAGAAAAAAACATTTTTTTTAGCTGAAAATGTATTTGTGATAGGTACTTACCTCTCTGCATACACCCCATCCTTCTTCTCCACTACCAGTGTACATTATTCTGGCCTTGTTTAAATAAGAATGAAATTAATTTTGAGCATAAGTGCTTATGAGGTCTACTGCACATGGAGGATGTGTCACCCTTCTATTGGTGAAAGACTACTGTTGAATGATGATTACATCATGCACTAGTGAAATTCACATTAAAACATGTCTTAGTTGGGAGATATCTGAAGCCTAGTAGCATGCACAAAATGTCAGGGGCAGGCACATGAGGGATAGCTTCTGTGTGCTTCTTTCGGAAATACATTTTGAGGTATTAATTTTTTAAACTGAAGTATAGCATGTCTTTTCCAAAGCTTAAAAATGGTGTTCTTTTGTGTTCCTTTTTGAATGCAGCAAAAACATATCAGAGGCCTTTATCATATGAATCCCTTCTATGATTGTATAAAATCCAATAAGATCACTTCCTACCATAGTTTTCTCAAGAGATCATAGCCTAACTCTCTAAGATAACCTTTCCATCTTAGAATCAACCTAGTGTCCCACTTCAGAACAATTAAAATAGGCCTGTTGGAAACTGCACTTTTCTAACATGTCATATATTAACATTATTCGTAATGTTATGTATTTATTGTATAATGTGGTTTTCCTTAGTGCCTTTAAAACTACTGTAAATGTAAACTTTGGAGATTCTTCATTATTAGTAATGAATCAAATGGACAGTACATGTATATTATGTATTTAGTATGTGTTTGTATTAGTGTTAGGTATAATAAAAAATTATCATTTTAAATGTGAGGTGAAAAAATATAAACATAATGAAAGATTAGTTTATTCTATTGTTTTTTACTTTTGCTTTCATAGAAATATTCTTATTATATGGAGTGTACATTTGTAGTGTTATGACTAAAGATAATTTACCAGCTGTACTAACTTACAACACTATTGTAAATATTATGATTTTTCATTATTATTTTAAAGTACATGCAAAAATGATGCATTAGATGCTATCTAGCTATATAATATCTTGGATTTATCTCTTAAGTAGATCTTTGTATAACATACAGCAGTAATGGTTGGGAAAAACAAGTTAATTGAATTGTAGAACAGAAATGGATGATTTAATTGATTATTCAATTACCTATGAGCAGCAACAACATTTATAATGTTAACTAATCCATTAATCAAAATTATGATTAAAGTGACTAATGAAAATCAGCATTTTTGATAACTGATGTTTTCAATTATTCCAAGAATCAATTAATCAAATCACAATTAAATTGATCAGCACAAGAATAACTAATCAAATTTTGTTTCTAATTAATATTATTCTCTAGTATTCCAACAATTATCATGAAAATAATCAACTAA